CCCCCCCCCCTCTCTCTCTCTCTCTCTCTCTTTTTTTTCTTTTATTCTGGGAAAGGTCAAGATAGGGTCTTCCTATGTAACCCAGGATGACGTGGAGCTCTGTGATTTAGGTTAACCTGAACCTCAGTAATCCCTCCACCTCAGCCTGTGTGTGTTTGAATCACAGGTGTGTGATCTATGCACCCAACAGCAGAGGAATGTTTGTTGGAAAAAGGAGAATAAACATTGGTGGGTAGGGTGTCCAAAACCTAAGATGGCCTTGCTCGTCAGTTCACTAGCTTGTTTTGAATTCCAAAATACGGTATGACCATAATTCCTGGAGACTTGTGAATGTTCAGTCTGCCTATGGGGACACAGGAAAGCATTGAGGCGGTAGTATTGTTAGTGGATTCTGAACATTCAGGTCTTTTGGTGGAGGTCTAATTGTAGCATCCATTAAAAACATATCAGAAATTTAATAAGTGTGAAAATTGTTCAGATTTGTTGCTGTTGTTTGTGGGGGAGGGGGCTGTCACTAACAGAATGACACACGTATAGCACAGAGCAATTTAACTTCTGCAACATGAAACAAACTACACAGAGGAATTGACTCTCGAGAGTGTTTCGTGATAAGATATAAATCTTGCCAGCACTCTGAAGAACTAACATGATTTTTCTCATGGTATCTTTCAACTTGATTTCAGTATTTCCTCCGTATGTGGCTTTAGCATTCTGCAATTGCTTTTTCTTACATTCTAGGGATGGGGTGTTTTGACAGTGGAGATATTTAAATTTTTTATATTCAGTTGGTTTAGGAAAGCTTTCACCAAGCCTTTGTAGGAAATCTAACTTGTGTCCCTGGGAATTTTGGGGAGTCTCAGCAGAGTTGCTACTTGTTACTAGGGAATTTGGTGTACTCCCCTCTTGGAGATCTTAGTATTGTTATTAAAAGAATTTGAGGACGGGGTCAGAATGAAGTTTGAGGACAGTTTATTAGAGTGTAAAAGAAAAACTCCAAGGAGTACCAGCTGTTAATCTAGGCAGCTGCCCAGAGGAGGCAGGTAGAGAAGAGGAAGAGAAGAATTCTTACTATTTGACAGAGTCATGGAGTCCAGCCACACAGTCTTGTGACAGAAAGGGGAGGGGCCCTCCAGAGAAAGAGCAAGAATCCCAAAATATAGAAAAGGCATTTTTAGGCTTTGGCCAGCATCCAAAGAAAAAAGAAGGGAGGGACAGGAAAAAACTATGCTTTTCTGAGTAGTACTTGGAAGGGCAGACCTAACAGAGCTTCATGGCATTAGGGGATAATTATTCCTCCTATCTCTTCAGCATGGATTAAGGTGGATCAGGCCTTGGTGAGTCTGGTCTCTAAACCAGATGATTGATCTCCCAACTGGAATGTTAAGTCTCTACCGAGGCCAGAGATTCCATTCTCCTGAGCAGAGGAAATAGCTTTCCCTTAATGGGCCCTTAATGCCACTGTAACATTTTTTTTTTTTTTGCACAACAGCTGATACAGTCATAGTTCTGGTGGCAACCACCACCACTCTTTGGTTTGGATTCTGTTTGTTGTTTAACAACTACCTAGTAAATGTTAAGCTTTGAGGACAAAGGAACCAGGATAAATCCTGACCTTTGGCTCTGAAGGAAGTGGACTTTTTTTTTTTTTTTAAGAACTTCATTATGACTTTGCATGTAATATTATATTAAGCTCATGGATTTTTTTTTCAAGCTCCCTCGTTCAGTGAGCTCTGGAGTTACGAGCCACTGAGTTGTAATGGTCCAGTTCAAATGTGCACTTCAAGGAGTGCCTGTTCTTTCCCAGCAAGATAGCCAGTGACCGCAGTTTCCAAAAATTTCAGGCAAATGAGCAGATGTTTGCTAGTAGGAAATTGAATTCTCAAAAGCTAGTGGAAGTCTGAAGAATGTGTTTCTTTGGCCTTAATTTTTCTTGGGTTCTTTTTTTTTCTCCTCCTGAGATAGGGTCTTACTATGTAGCCCAGGCTATCTTCAAACTTGAATCCTCATCCCTTGGCCTTCTGAGTGCTGGGATTGCAAGTGTGTGGTACCACATCTGACACTTTTACCATTGTTTTATAATTATAAAATTAGTAGTTTTTGTTTTTAATTTTTATTGTAGTGGAGAGAATAAAAGTTAGAGTCTCACATGCTCGGCAAATATTCTACCACTGAACTACATTCTTAACTCCATATTTTTTGAATAAAAATTCAAACAACCCCAAAATCTATAAAGTAAAGGAGACTAATTTTTGTTTTATTGTTTTTTTTCTGTGGTGTTGGGGATTGAATCCAGGATCTCATGCATGCTCAACACGTGTTAAAACCTCAGTCCTCGAAGGATAACTCTTAAATTCTTCTTTTCTATTTTTTGGAAGCAATAACTGTTACTTCCTAAATGCATTTTTTTTTTCTAGAAAATTCCTCAGTGAACACATTTCTGTTTTACAGAGGTATGGAAACAATGCAAATATCCCCCCTAAGTGCTGCTTTTTGCATCACTTGTGCATGCTGTACAACTTTCGTGTTATATACAAAGGGTAGATTTCCCAGCATGCTCAGATCTCATGTGGATTCAAGATCTCTCTCAATTCCAGCTGTACTACAGAGTCAGACACAGATAGCTGCCCATGCTGGAGGAGACATAGCCAGCAGGTAAATGTCACTTCTGCTCACTTGACAGAACACTGCCAACATGCTTGAAGGGTCGATCTAGGAAAGCACTCCTGAGTACATTTTTACAGCCTCTTACTGAAATTCTTACTGTCCAATGAAGTAAAATTCAGTCTCAGAACATGTTTATTTTGAATAGCAAGTGGTTTGTTGGTAAACAGATGGTTTTGATGCTAGGAATATGTTCCCTTGATCAGGAGAGAATGATAAAATGCTAAGAGTAAATACTGGCCATTAGAGATGTCATGTAGAACCACGAATCTCTCCAATTTAGAGAAGATTTATCCTCTTACTAGTTCACTGTAGTCAGGATCACACAGCCTGCCCTTTTGAATTAGGTTGTTTAATCACATGGTAACCAAACATGACCTGCAGGTACATAATTACGGCTTTTAAGATGGAGCTAGGCATGTAGGTCGACTGTAGTGTGAGCCTGGTGTGTATAGGGCTCTGATCCACCACACTGGGGCGGCCCGGAGTGCTAGACTGTGGTGATGATCTACTTCTAATAATTTCTTTGAAAATATTTGCTTTTAGTCCCTTGGAGACACTTTTATTTTTTAAATGCTGTACTTTTTTTTTAACCTGGAAAATTCTGATATACATGTATACACACACACACACACACACACACACACACGCACACTTTTCTAAAGGAAGCCTTTCTTTTGTTTTTTAAAATTTGTTTTTACATGCTTGCTTTAGATTTATTTTATGTATTTCCTTTCAGATTGGGTCTTGCTGACCTGGAACTCAAGGAAAACTTTTCTGCCTTAGAAACCTTTATTTCATAAGCTTTTCTTTCCTTGGGTAAACCAAAACTGTCTGTTTCCTGTTTCCCAGCCAGCCATGCCTATGAATCCATGGATTCTCAGACTGTGTACCTGACATTTTAAAATAAAGGACTCTGTTAAAGTGTATTTGCTAAGAGGCCTACAGCCTGGGAGTCTCATGAGGCTGAAGGAGAGAGTCACATGCTGTGACATTTCTTTTTTTTCTTCAGCATACTCTGGCTTACTCTTATTATTTCAATGACTAGTAATAATTGACTTTCCAGGAGTTTCTCTGTGAAAAAGAGTGTAAAAACTACTCTTGTGCCCTGAAAGAGAGAGAGGTGGGGAGAGGGAGGGAGAGGCCCACCCATCCAGAAATTGAAATTCTGGGGAAAAGGAATATAAATTAAATATACACTTGGCCATTTGTGGATTTTCCCTTTCCACCTGCTTCTCAGGGACATCTGTAGTCCAGGCACGTGCTAGTCTCTAATGAGCAAGTACATGTCAGGCTGACAGCTATACAAATGGCACCTTACAGTTTTGAGCTTACATTCTTTGCTTTATTGATATTGCTAGGTTAATGGCCATCAGACTGGTTTGGGGCTCTGTGCTGGTGTAGAAGAGGGTGTTGCCATGCTGGGTGTCCTGTTTGTGTAGCTGCCTGTTTCCTGTTGCCCGAGCTGTGCAGTTCTGATGCTGATGCATGAGAAGTGTTCCTGAGATGGCCTGTGCACAGGTCTATGGGGAATTTTCACACTGGGGAACACTTGGGTGGACTGCTTAGACCTTTGCCTATGCTGATGAGAGCCTTACTGGTTTTGTTGTTGACACATATCCCTCGTAGTCCAACCTGGCCTTGAATTCCTGATTCTCCTGCCCCATCCTCCCAAGTGTTGGGATTAGAGTTATGCACCACTTAATGTAATTAAGTAATTAATGTAATTAGTGTAATTTAGTAATGTGTTTTATGTGGTACTAGGGATGGGACCCGGGGCGTCCTGCATAGTTAAGATTCTACCGCCTGAGCCACACCCAAGCCCCCAAGCCCCAGCAGAGTAGCTTTGGGATTCATCCTTACAGTTGTGTCAGCAACTTTCTCCCTAGTATTATATTTATGTAACATTTGTTAGTTTATCCACTTGTCTGTGATCGGGCACCTGACTATTCCTACTTGGGGCCTTTTACAAATAGTACTGTGTACTCTCACATATGGGTCATATTTTCATTTCTCTTGGTAAATGTTTCTAAGTAGAAGGGGAGGGTTATATAATTAGTACATTTTTAACTTTATAAGAAACTACTTATGAAGCCAGGTGGTGGTGACATACACCTTTAACATTGGTGCTCCGGAGGCAGAGGCAGATAGATCTGTATAAGATGGGGGCCAGCCTGGTCTAAACAGGGAATTCTAGGACAGCCAGGATTACACAGAGAAAACGTGTCTCAAAAAACAAAAACATAAGAAAAAAGAAAAAAAAAGAAACTACTTAGGATTTAAACTATAAAAAATTGAGTAAAAATAAACTACCAAATACTTTCCCCAAGTGACTGTGTCTTTTTATTTCTGTACTGGCATGATGCACTGGTTCTAGCTGCATTGCAGCCTTGCCAACACTCACTCTGGTCTTGTTAAAATTTCTCCATTGGAGTGGACATGCGTTAATGCCTTATTGTGGTTTTAGTTTGAATTTCACTGAGTACAGTCTTAATGAGAACGTTCTTGAAGTTTGCTTTAGTTTCCCCTGTAGGACTGCAGACATCTGTAATGAAAGTTAATTTTTCCCTTTAGGCTTTTTGGAAGTGATTGAAAAGAATAATCCAAAATGCCTGAAAATCCTGCTGCAGGTATAGAAGCTATAATTTTTATTGTTGTTACGAAATGATTCAAAAGTGGATTGTGAGGTAGTGTCTGACTTGAGCTCTGGTCACCTTTCTCCAACCAAGAGAAAATGCAGGTCCTGCAGGTCCTCGATCGCCTGAGAGGGAAGCTGCAGGAGAAGGGAGACACGACGCAGAACGAGAAGCTGTCTGCGTTTTATGAGACGCTGAAGAGCCCTCTCTTCAACCAGATCCTTACACTGCAGCAGTCCATCAGGCAGCTGAAGGGACAGGTGAGTTACTCAGCCAGCCTGAGCTGCTGGGTTCCCACCAGCAGGAGTACAGGAGGAGCCAGGATTGAGACGTGTGGGGCCTGAAAGCTGTGGATAGCATCTGTGGATGGTATCAATATTGATGAAGTTTATGTTGGGCTTTGGAGTATGATAAATTAGTAAAAATCAAATGCTTCAGAATCTCAGTGTTTTCCTCAAAGTTATAAAATAGCTTCTTCCTTCCTTCCTTCCTTCCTTCCTTCCTTCCATCCATTCGTCCATCCATCCTTTCTTACTTATTTACTTACTTATATAGTGTTGAGTTCGAGTCAGAGCCTTGTGTATGCTGGAATTCTACCACTGTACTCCATTCTGGGCTCTTGGCATTTAGAATCTATTCATTTACAATTTTTCTTACATTGTATTTTCTGTGTGTGTATGAATGTATATATGTAGTATGTATATGAACATGTGTGGAGGTCAGACAACAACTTGTACAAATTGGTTCCCTCCTTATGCAATGACAGTCCCAGAGATCCAACTTGGGTCATCAGGCTTGGCAGCAAGTGCCTTTATCTACTAAAGCATCTTGCTTCTCCCTCTCCTTGTTAAAGAACAAGTATACTGATTGGTCTTCATGTGCATATGCTGTGTGTGTGTGTTTGTGTGGGAGGGTCCATGTGGAGTATCTGCTGTGTGGCTGTGTGTATGTGTGTATGTCAGGGTCCATGTGGAGTATCTGCTGTGTGTGTATATCAGGGTCCATGTGGAGTATCTGCTGTGTGTGTGTTTGTGTGTGTATGTGTGTGTGTGTGTGTGTCAGGGTCCATGTGGAGTATCTGCTGTGTGTGTGTGTGTGTGTGTGTGTGTGAGGGTCCATGTGGAGTATCTGCTGTGTGTGTATGTGTTGTGAATCACTATGTGGTTGCTGGGAATTGAACCCAGATCTCTTGGAAGAATAGCAAATGTTCTTAACCACTGAGCCACATCTCCAGCCCCCTTGATATTTGTTATTAATGTTGCTTTTGTTCTACTGTGTTAGCACTTGTATCAGCTAATATTATAACAAACAAACAAACAAACAAACAACCCCAAAAAACCCTGCTTCTTATAATGCTAGGATGATGTTCTTCTTTAGATGTTTAAGTGGCCTTGTGATTTACTTGCCATTAGTATTATACAAGGATGTTGTGTGCCTCACTTTTCATATTCACCAACTGGGATAATGAATGACATCAATTGAACTATTTCAAAAGATTCAATAAGATAACATGATGTACATGCAGGAATCTTGGTCTAGTACCTGGCTCTTAGAAACACTGATTAAACACTGTTGCTGTGAGTGCTGTTATGTGCCCAATGTGGATCTCTGTGCTTTCTCCATGTAGATATACAGATAATACAAAATGGCCTAGTGTCTTACATACAAGAACAAATTTTAAATGTAAACATTTTGTGTAATATTAAAAAGCTCTAGCCTTAAAACATACAGATTTGTTGATAGGTACTTAATTTGTTTTCTTTCTCTTAACATTTTATTTTATTTTTAATTATGTGCACATGAGTAGAGTTTGTATGTAGGTGGTGTGGTGGTGCAGAGGTGTCAGATTCTCTGGTGTCAGAATTACAGGCAGGTGTGGACTTCCTGACATGGGTGCTAGGAACTGTACTTGGAAGAGCAGTATAACTGCTAAGTCATCTCTCTGTCTACACACGCACACACACACACACACACACGAGCACACGCACACCACATGCACATAATACACACATATACACACACATTCACACCTACCTCTTTTTTTTCTCTCTTCCCTCCTTGTTGATTTCTTCCTTCCTTGTTTTTTTCATCTTTTCCTCCCTCCTTTTCTCCTTCTCTCCCTTCTTCCTTCCCTGAGACTGAGTTTCATTCTTTGGTCCTGGTAGGTCTAGATCTTGCTAAATGTAGACTAGGTAGGCCTTGAACTCACAAGAGATCCTCTTGCCTCTGCATCTGAGTACTGGTCTTTAAGTCATGTGCTGCCATGCCTAGCCTCTTACTTCTTTAATATGTATATAAATTACACATGTAATGTAATAGAAATGGTTTCTTTTGTGTAGATTTCTGCTGATGATTTTATCATTCTCTCCAACAGCTTAGCCACATCCCCTCAGATTGTTCAGCCAGCTTTGACTTTTCTCGAAAGGGTTTGTTAGTGTTCACGGATGGTTCTATTACAAATGGGAATGCCCACAGACCTTGTAGTAATGTAACTGCATCTGAATTGTTGCCTTGGACTCAAAAGCCAGGAAAGGAAGACTTTAATTCAGTCATTCAGCAGATGGCTCAGGTAAGGTTATATCTTGTCATGGATTATTTAGCTTTATTATTATTATTGTTATTATTATTATTATTTTGTTTCAGTTTAAAAAGAAAACTTAAATCTTTTTTAATCTTAATCTTTTTTGCCTTAATATATATTATTATGTATTTGTTTGCTTGTGTTTTTATCTTATTAAGAGAAATTGACACTACTTCTAACCTATGTGTTGGAACCTGTAATTAAAATACAGGAGAGTAGGATATGCTGGAAAAAGCCTGCAGCCTAGCACTCAGCAGGCCGAGGCAAGGGGATCTCCAATTTGAGGCCAGCTTGAGTGAGCTTTATAGTGAAACCCTGTCTGAAAAGAAAAGAAATACAAAAGAAAACAAACGAAAACTCCTTAAGAAAATTTGTTTTAATCTTTTATCAAAATAGAGTTTATGAATTATAGTTAATATAATTTAGAAAATCTAGAAAAACATTAGAATGGATAATTTAACTGATTCCCCTCATACCTACCAAAAGGTAAATGATAGACAATTGAGGTTTTTGAATTTTTTTTAAATATTTATTTATTTATTGTATTGATGAGTACACTGTAGCTGTCTTCAGACACACCAGAAGAGGGCATCCAATCTCTTTATGGATGGTTGTGAGCCACCATGTGGTTGCTGGGATTTGAACTCAGGACCTCTGGAAGAGTAGTCAGTGCTCTTAACCGCTGAGCCATCTCTCCAGCCCCCGAGGTTTTTGAATTTTTAGAGAAAATTTAGAATTTCTTGCCAAAGACTGAGTTTGATTCCTTGCACCCACGTTGGGTGGCTCACAAATGCTCCAGCCCCAGGGATCCAAACTATTTTCTGACCTTAGTAGGCAGTTCACATGTACATATCCACATACAGACTAATACCCATACACATAATTAAAAATAAAGTCAATTTTAAAAATAGCTGGGTTTGGAGGTACACGTCTATTCATTCCAGCGGAGGCAGGAGGATCTCTGTGATTTCAAGGCCACATGGTGTACATAGTGAGTTCCCAAACAGAGGGGAGTACACAGAGAGCTTTGTCTCAAAAATCCAAAAGAGAGGAAAACAAACAAACAAACAAATACCTAAGATTGGGTTTGAGATTGAAAAAGAATTTGTTTCAAGTTGTGGTAGGTGAACAATGTTGCAGTCTTTTCATGATGCTAAGCTCCGTCCGCTGTGTGTGCTGCCCTTGTGATCTGATTATGTTTATGATACATGCAGTTGTTAACGTAGCCGTTGAAATGACTGAGTGAATGAAGTATTAATTCACTACAGTAGAATTTAAAACAGAGTGATACAGTGCTGTGGGTTCTGACTGGGCCAAGCACAAGTGTGTTTCTGGCATAGCTGGCTTTCCTGTTTAGAAATGTGTTTTATATTAAGAGAAGTTAAAGAAACTTATGTACATAGTAACTGAGAGGTTACTGTGGGAAAGGGTGTTTGTTTTCGGTTTTTGTCCAGCCCAGAGTCTATCTCATAATGTGGATGAATTGTAAAATGTTTCTCAGTGTTGTACTCTGTGTGCTCGGCTGAAAACAATCAAGATAAAAGTTTTCCAGGACCAGCATGTTACCAGACTTCTGAGCATGTTTGGATTAACAGCAAGGACATAGAAGCTGCTGTGCACTGAGTAGGTTCAGATCTGTGGAAAGGTGATATTTAAATGCACATCATGGGTTTCTTTTTTCCTTCCTCCCCACCCCCTTCTTTAGGGCCGGCATGTTGAGTATATAGAGATAGAACGCCCTTCATCTGGAGGCCTTGGATTCAGTGTGGTGGCTGTGAGAAGCCAAAGCCTGGGATTCACTGATATCTTTGTGAAGGAAGTCCATCCAGGGAGTGTAGCAGACAGGTGAGGAGGAAGCTCATTCTGTACTTGGTTCCTGTTTTCCTGACAGCTCCGAAGTGATACTCTAAAGAGTAAGCAAGTAGCAGTTGGTGCTGCTGGCTTTTAAGAGCTTCCTTACTCTGCATCTCCGTGTTGTACCTGCTGGTGCTTTTGAAGGCTTTAGCACAAAGTCTGTCTCTTCAATTTCTAGTCTTTGGTTTAAGACTCATTTCCTAAGTTCATTATTCAGATGTTCCCAGTTAGAATAACTGTTCCCAGTGGTGGCAGGATATAATTAGAAAATTCTGTCAATAATGTTTTGGTTTTGTTCTTTTCAAAATTTGTTTTCTTTGTTTATACATGATTACTTCTAGTCTATTGTTGAAGGCTCATTAGTCAAAAAGTCTTGTCATCTGAGGCTGGATGTTCCTTTCTCTTTCCAGCTCTGCAGTCTTGCTCAAGTGACTTAATTTCACTACTCGTTGTATTGTCTTGTGTAAAATGGTCATGTTAATGTAAGGAGGGATGGTGGAAGAGAAGCACGTCTGCTAATGGAGCACCTGATACCTAGTGAGACACACACAGTGGGCTGTGTGCATATCTGCTAGTGGAGCACCTGATGCATAGAGAGACACACAGCCAGCCCTGGGTGCACCTTCAGGTTGTCACAGTACTAAATTTTTCTTTTCTTGCATTATTAGGGATCATAGATTAAAGGAAAATGACCAGATTTTGGCCATCAATGACACCCCATTGGATCAGAATATTTCCCATCAGCAGGCGATTGCATTACTACAACAAGCCACTGGATCTCTGCGGTTGGTGGTGGCTAGGGAAGCAAGCCACACACAGGTCCGAACCTCCACCAGCTCAGCTGACACAACTCTGCCAGAAACGGTGGGTCAAATATAGCTTGGGGCTATATTACATTCTAAATGATATTATGTCGATAAGAATAGTTGATACTCATGTGGAAGTCCTTTTCATTATTGTGGTCAAGAAAGGTGATCATATCCCCAAATGGCAACATAACAAGATGTTTGTTAGAGGAGTTGGTTTTGATTTTGTCTTTTTAATGTCTGGTTGGTTTCCTTATTGAAGATTATTATTTAATATAAAAGCCAAATTGGATATTATTTGTAAGTTATTCAATGATGTCTTGTGTTCTTTGATTATCATAGCCATTTAATGTGTGTATGTGAAGAGGAAAGGGGACACCTATTATGTAGTCCAGGCTGGCCTTGAACTCACAATTTTCTTGATTCAGCCTCTTGAATGTAGGATTATGGGTGTATGCCAGTATGCCTGAGTTTTAGAGGTTTTAATTAGAAGTTTACTGTTAACTGTCTTAAGGAAAATGTGAATATTTATTTTAAATACTTCATATTTATGAATTATAATAGAATTGTATGGCTAGATTATTGCTTTTTATATAATTATTGCTGTGATTTTTCACATAAGCTTAAAAAGAAAAGCAGATGTCACTGGTAAACATTTCTCTTTTGTTTTCTGTGTGTAAGCAGGGCAAGTGTGCCACAGTGTGCACATAAAGGACAGAGAGCAGCTAGTTGGAGTTGGTTCTTTCCTTCTACCTTGTGGGTCTGGGAAATCAAATTCAGTTTGTCAGGTGTATAGACTGGCACCTGTGCACACCACCCTCCTGTCCTTGTTTTTCTCTTGACTTCAAAATAATCAGTGTCTCTTCTATCTTTTAAGCTTATTACATTTATGAATTGAACAGTTTAAAAATTGTACATGTATGGTGTATTGTGTGTGCACATGAGTGTGCGGGTAGGTGGATTGACCTGTTCCTGGGCATGTAAAGCTCAGAGGTTGATCTCCTTTGTCACTGTCATCTTTTGTGTTAGGCTCTCATTGAACCTAGAGACTTAGTTCCAGCTAGACTGGAAGGACCGGGAGCTCTGGGCTCACACATGTGTGCCACATAACAGTTTTCCTTCTGTGCGAGGTTTGGACTCAGGTCATCCTGCTTGTGTGGCACTCACTTTGCCCACTGAGGCATATCCCCAGTCAACGTTTACAGATTTTGGAGTGTGTCTTCAGAATGGAAACTGTCCGTTTTGTTGTTGTTGTTTGTTTGTTTCAAGGTAAGATGTCACTGTGTGGCTCTGGCTGGGCTGGGACTCCTTGCAGATCAGGCTGATCTTAAAGTTGCAATCCTCTTGCCTCTGCCTTGCAAATACTGGAATTACATGTGTGAGTCTCCTGGCCTTGGCATAAGTCTTATTTTCTTATAACACCAAGTGCTACCTCATTTGTTTAATTTTCATTTGATGTGACAAAAGGAAACAAAGCTGCTGCTCTCTGAGTGTTGGGGTGCAGCGTAGACTGATAAAGGTCACAGTGCAAACAGGGCACCATGTCCCTTATAGTCTGTAATGTCGATACAGTACAGCTTATAGGATAAATACAATGAACAAAGTGGGACCTTGCTTAGCATATGTAGAACGAATCTTTTTCTACCCCTACCTACTCATATCCCATCAGGTCCTTCAGTGCCTCAGTTGGTTAGTTTATTCTTTTTCTTCCTCTTTATCTTTTTAAATATTGAGGCAAGTTGCCCAGGCTGGCCTCAGACGTGCTGCATCACAGAGATTTGCTTGAACTCCTGATCTTCCTTCTGTTGCTCTATAAGTACTGGGGTGCAGGCTAGACCATGCTGGCTTCCAGTTTCTTCACTTTTATGTGGAACCAATAATGCTGTGTAGTTCTTAGAGATGCAAAAAGAAAGTAGGTTTGTGAAAACCTGGCAGTGCCTGGTCCCTGTGAACACTGTGAATGGTAACTGCCATCCTTACTTCAACTTTATTTTAGAAAACACTATATCTAAGATTGTAGGTATTGTTCCAGGCATGAATGTCTTAAGTATTTCCAATACTCCATTTACTTCACAGTTAACTTTCTTATGTTGTAAAGTAGGAGACTTAACTAATGAATATGACTGCTCTTCTAAGGGAGATTTTGTCCTGCAGCTGAATTCTGTGGAAGTGTGTGCATTTCTCATGGAGTCTCATAATTAGAGGAAAATTTCTTGCATCTTTTTTTTTTTCTTGCATCTTTTTGTATGACTATGTTGCTAGTATTTTGAGTTAAGTATGCCTCTTTCTTTTCTCCTAAGTGTTCTAAATTGGTCTTTTTGCCACATCCTTGCCTGGGGCAGTGAGGAAATGAAGAAAGAACTGACCTAGAGGCACATGTACACAGAGAGCTGAGATTGGCTAGACTGGGCTCTGACGGAGAAGCTGCAGCACCCTGGAAGCTCAGCATGGTTATTTGATACAGTTGAACAGGGAGGTGGGGCTATTGCTACAGCTGAAGAAGGAGGCAGGCTTAGTTAATCTGTAGGAGCAGTATCTGTGGAGGAACTTTGGAGAAAGCTATGGTCGACATTTCTGCACACACTGTCAATGTCTGCACATGGACCAGAGGAAGACTTTGCCATTTCTCTCAGCCTGGTGAAGGCTTTGCCACTTCCATAACTTCTGGCATGGGTCCTTGACATGGCTGTGCCCTTGTCAGACAGTATGTGTTCACTCAGGACTTTTACTCTTTCTCCACGCTTTTTAGTCATATTGTTAACCTTTGGTTCTTCACAGTTCTGACAGGGTCATTTTCCTAAGCCATTGCTTTAGCCTTGTTATTCTCTCTAGTCTTTGCCTTTTTCTGTTGTCTGGCTAAGCTGTGCTCTTACATTTTTCTCTGGCTTAAATGCTTTCTTTCTTTGTCTAACACTTATTTACTCATGAGCAGCCCCCCTGTAGTCTAGGTGTTACTTGAACTCACTATGTAGCAGAGACTAGCTCTGAATTCCTGATATACCTGCCTCCATCTCCTGGGTACTGGGATATTAGGTATGTACTATTAATACTTTAATTTTAATTTAAATTTCTGCTTTCATTAAGCCTTCATGATTCTCATTGAAGTTTACATTTTATGAACTATTCTCTCCCCCACCTCCCTGAAATTGTTGTAACACTGAGCCTGTCTTTCAGCAGATATGTGTTCATTGACTCCCAATGTACCCTATGCTGATGTACCCTGTGCCACGTTGCGTTTCTTGTCTTTTCAGGATGCAGGATCTTATGATCTGACTTCCACCTTGCATTTTAACTGCTTGTGCTCATTTTCTCTATTGAATTATAATACCCTTAGGGGTAGGCTCTCTACCTTGCCCTGTCAGTCTATCCTTCTGTCATCTTTCTTCTATCTGTTTACTATGCTTCCATAGCTTATTCTCCATAGATAGTTGTCTTGATTAATGGTCTGAATTTTTAGTTTCTTGTAAATCTGTTACATAATACCATATAGGAAACCTAAGAATCTGTGATTCACCAACTCTGCCTTTAACTTGCCATTCATTTGTAGGTGTGTTGGGGCCACACTGAAGATGTTGAGCTCATTAATGATGGCTCTGGATTAGGTTTTGGGATAGTTGGAGGGAAATCCAGCGGCGTGGTTGTGAGGACTATTGTTCCCGGAGGATTGGCAGACCGAGTAAGTTGACTTTATCATTTTGCTTTTATAAAATTTGACTTTTATAATTTGAAATTAATTTTATATCATGAGTTGTTAGAATACATCGCTCAATAATTAGAGTTTATGTATAACTTTATATATAATATACATATATATACATATATATATGTATATGTATATATATATACATATATATATATGTATAACACTTTATACCATAAACTTCCTGTATTTAAACAGTTTTTTCTGACCTCTAATTAACTAGGGTTTGGTTACATAAAAAGAAAATATTTTTATTGTAAAAAATTGTTAATGAATATTTGTATTTTGAACATTTGTGTTATTCTTCAACATAGCTTTCAAGGGTCAATGATAGAGTCAGACGACTCAGTGAGCATATGCATTTGTCTTGGCATGGGTGACATGGCTCAGCAGGTAAAGGTGCTATAAAGCCTGGTAGCCTGAACTTGATCTTGAACTGATGTACTGGTAGAAGGAGAGAACTGACTCCACAAAGTTGTCTCCTGACTTCCACATATGCACTGTGACACATACCCCTCCGCCAGTAATGATAAATTAAAACAAGCAAAAATCTATTCATCCCAATGTTGTACATATAAGATTTCACTTGGCTATTTTCTGATATAAGTCAAATGTGTATCTTTGTTATTTAGCTGTATTTCAAAAACAAGTAGACCATGTAAAAGCTTGACAACTTTCTTTTCCATTTAATTTTACATGGAAGAAAATGTTAAATACTATATTTAGTTTTGTTTACTTATTTATCAGTATGTTTGTGTCTCTGTTTATGTATGCCACATTGTGTGTGGGTACCCATGAAAACCAGGAAAGAGTGTGTGATATCCTGGAGCTGGAGTTACAAGCAGTTGTGAACTTCTGGGTGGGTGTTGGGGATCAGACGTAGGTCCTCTAGAAGAGCTGTGAATGTAAGAGCCGGCCATTTCTCCTGTCTCCCATAGTTGGATTTTAGAAATTGTAGAAATTTTAGTTTGAGTTCATGTTTTATAGAATGCTCATGATAATCAGGACTAACTTTAATTCTACAATCACAAAATGTCACTGATTATTACCTATCTCCCTATAAATAAAGACACCCCTCCTGATACACATATAGGTAAAATGATGGATCTGTTGTACAGACTCAGCTTTGACGTAGGGATTCTTCAGCTCCTCACTTCTGACTGAAGTGACTGAATCTTTTGTAATTATTTAGCCCCCCTTTCCTTCTATCCTTTCTGTACCAAGTATATTTATTTATGGAAGTACCTAGCATTTGGTCTGTGGACACTGTGGTGACTAATGCCTTTCATGTGTCTTTGAGATGAAAGTGATTCTTAGAGTAATAATGAGAATTATTCCTATTCATATTTGTTTGCATTGTTCACACGAAAGCAGAAGGAAATGAAAAACGATGGGAGATTAATGTAGACTAAGGTAGCGGTTCCAGATATGTGACAGCTGTCAAATTCACTTAAGTTTTGTGCAGTAAAAATGATTAATGTCAGTGAACTTTGATCTTTCAATCCATGTCAGAGGAGTCATGCTTGACTTAAAGCATTTGAGGTGAATTAATTGTTAAAAGATTTGCAATGTTTAGTGAGGTGGCTCAGTGGTTAAGAGCACTTGTTGCAGAGAAATTGAGTTCAATTTTCAGCATTCACACGATGATTCACAACCACCTATAACTTTAGTTCCGGGGAATTCAACACCCTCTTCTGGCTCTACAAGACATACATTACATATACATACAGACAAAATACTCATACACCTAAAATAAATCTAAAAAAATTACTTAAAATACATGTTATTCAAAATTTAGAAATAGCCAATAGAAAGACAGTGAATATTTCCTTCATCTTTAGCTTTTTGTACATCATTTTCTGTCTTTAAATTTTCTTTGGAATATAAAGGGCTCTGAATGCTAGAGAGATGGCTCAGTGGGTAAGAGTCCTTGCTGTGCAAACAAGAGGACCTGTGTAAAATCCCCAGCACCTGTGTAAAAAGCCAGGCAGCTGTGGCTTCATTTACTGCTATGAAACTGCTGTGGGGAGGGGAGCTGGACAGTATGCTGGGGTTGCCACCTATCTCCAGGCTCAGTGAGAGGCTGTGTCTCAGGTAAGAAGGTAAAGAGTGATGGAACAAGGTACCCAGTGGCCTCTTCTGCTCCTCACACATGCAGAGATGAGTGTGTGCATGAGTGTGTGCCTGTACATATATACACATACATATGGCACACACAACATGTGTGTGACTAGAATGAGAATTATCCTGCTGTGTACCTTTAAAACATCTGTAGTAGATGCTGGAGTGATGGCTCAGTTGTTAAGACACTGGGAATCCAACATCCTCTTCTGGCCTCTGGAGATACCAGGTATGCATGTGGTACATATACACACATATAAGCAAAATGCATACACATAAAAATATTAAACAAATACTTATTTGTGTGTGTGTGTGTGTGTGTGTGTGTGTGTGTCTGTCTGCGCATGCACAAGCACAGTGTGTGTCTGAGTGTGAGCATGGAAGACAGAAGAGGATGTGGGGTCCCAGGAGCTAAAGTAGCAGGCCTTGGCAGGACAGTGGGCTTGTTCCGTGGGTGCTGGGATCTGAACTTCAGTCCTCCTGAGTGTGCAGCAAGCATTCTTAACTGATGTGCCGGTTTCCAGCTCCCAAGTAAAATAAATCTTAAAAAATGTTTATTTTTTTGTAACCTAGAAAAGAGTGAGACATTGTAGAGTATTCTTAGGTTTCCCTCTGCCCTACCCCCTGCCCCCTAGCAATTTTAAGAGGCTTCTTTGCTGAGTAAAATGACATTTGCAAAGTGCAAAGTGCAGCAGTTATTTTGAAAAACAAAGGACCAAATAAATTTAAATGAAATTAAATAAGTTCCTTTACTGTAAGAATTTTCGGAGCTTTTTAATATCTTAATGTGCATTATGAGTTTTCACAAGGACACTGATGTGCAGGGTTTCCCAGATTAATCCCAGCGAGGCACTGTTGGGAAAAGCCCAAGTCTGATTCTCGCCCTTTCCTGGAAGGGATCGTCACTGTTTCAGATCACTAAGGAGGGGCAGGAGGCCTGCCCATCACAGATTTGTAATGGAGCAGCAGGAGCTTGTGCCAAATATTGTCATCTGGCTAATACACAACATTTTAATATAATCCTCAAAAACAGTATTAAGTTTTATTTCTAAATTATAGGTATGGAAACTTTTAAGAAATTGTGCAAGGTTGCACAGCTGGAGAGTGACGGACACTCTTCCTCTTATTCCTGCTAATGTAATCCTCTCAATCCTCAACCCAGCGCCCAGTCCTGCTATCTAGGTTTGAGCACAGTATCTCAGCACTCCTACATCCTAAGCTAGTGCATCAGCTACATTCCCAGAGCTATGTCTCCTAGATAATTCCAAATTTAGTCAAACTGTCAATGAAGATGAACCATCCAGAGATCCTCTCTGAAAGGAAAAGGGTTGCATGATAGCTTAAGAACTGGGTGGGATGGGAGTGTACTAGAGAGATGGCATAGTACTTACTGCCTTATCAGACCAGAGTTTGGTTCCCAGCACCCACATTGGATGGCTCACAAATGTCTGTAACTCTAGCTCCAAGGGGTTAGATGACCCCTTCTAGTCTCATTGGGCACCTACATACATGTAATTGCATATACTCTCTCTTATACACAAATAAAATAAATCTTAAAAAAGAATAAAATGAAACCAGACAGTGAAAGCCTTGACTCTTGGATCTACTATTACCACTGGTTAAGCTGCTTGTTTAATTTCATGCTTCTGAAATAGATCTGAAACCACGTTAAAGATAGCACATTTTAAATGTATCCTGTGGAAGCTGATAGCATCTCAGAGACCATGACTTTACTGAATGCTAGTCACTTAGGCATACAGTGTCCAGCATGTGTCAGACCATTTCCTTAGAGGGAAGTGTCATCCGAGGAAACCATATTATTTGCAAAGAGACAGTAGGCACAGAGCAGTCCATGCTAGAGACCTAAGTCTTTTGTATATGATATTAAGTATAATGTTCAGAATCCCACATGAGAGAAACTTATTCTGACATTAGCTAAGATTTAGGTACAGTGAACATCTGACCAACTTGGGGTTACCTGCTTCCAGGGCTTTTTCTTGTCCAACTGCTGTTTATTGTACAAAGTAAACAAAATAGAAAATAATGTATATTTTTTGTTTTTTCTTTTTAAGATGTATTTGTATTTCATATGTTTTGGTGCTGCATGTTTATCTGTATACCTCACACGTGCAGTACCAAGCAGAGGTCGAAAGAAGGCATCTGAGGCCCTGGCACTGGAGTCAATGAGAGCTGTGAGCCACCATGTGGGTCCTGAGAATTCAAGTCTTCTAGATCAGCTCCTATATATTGTTTTTCAAATCTTCATTAAAAAGTAGTTTATTTTTAATTTACTTTATTTGTTTACTTATTTATTTATTTTTAAGGCAGAGTCTTACTCTGTAGCCCAGGTTGGCCCATGAAACTTTTACCACCTAGACTAGCATTATACTTTTTTTTTTTTATAATTTATTTTTTCTCAAATCGTAATTCATTCACACAGGGGTTATAAACACAGAAAGGCAAGATGTGGGGAAGGGGATGACACTGGAGTATGGGTGTTCAGGGGGAATACAGATATCTTCAGAACCGGGTATCGGCTGGGTGAAGGTTCAGGGGACAAGTCACTATGACTCTGCCTATGACTCGCTTGTCCTTATCTAAGTTGGTATTGTCTGCCAAGGCTACCTATTTACAAGGTCTATGACTATTCAGGCTTGTAGATTTCCACAAAAGCTGCCTGTTTACATTAGCTTATAGCCATCTGTTTCAATGTTTTTCCACTGAGACCCAAGACTTGGTGTTAGTATACATGTATGACAGGCCTATTGTTGATTTTAGGCCTATGGTTGATTTTAGGCCTTCAGTGTGTAAGCAGGGCTGCCCCTGACATCTCTTCCCTTCTCTAAGTATAGAAGGGCTGTGGAGATTCTAATCTTGCAAAGGCGGGGATAGAGGCCTGACCTCCAGTAATTGAAGGGGACCTTGTAATGGCTCCGGTCCACCTGTCGCAGTCCAGTGAGGCATGAGGGCCATACCATCCCGATGTCTTTTTTCCTGGAGAGGGGATACTTTTGACATCAACCCCTATGCAGTCAGGCTTGTCCCTCAGCGAACCCAGATAGATATTTTTATCTTTTATTTATATTCCCTTGCAGTGCTTAGCCTCGAAGCCTAAGCAAGAATTCAGATCGCCTGTCAGAGGGGGTTCTGGGTGGCCCCTCTCTGGACTAGCATTATACTTAGGTGAACTTTTTGTCTCAGTGTTCTGAGTGGTGATACTACAGATGTGAGTCACCATGCCTGGCTTATTTGTCAGTTATGGTAGACAGGGATAATTCTATGGGTAGGAAAATGCATAGATTCAGATAAAGGGAGAGAAAAGGCCTCTGTAATCCTCAGATAATGTCTAATATTCATAGCATCTGACACATCTTTGGAGGGCTTTTTGTTTTGTTTTTCTAAAAAAGGTATCACTATGTAGCCCAGACAGGCCAGGAACTCACTTTGTAGACCAGGCTACCCTAAAACTCATACAGACCTATCTGTCTCTGCTTCCCCAGTGCTGGGCTTAAAGGTATGCACTGCCATGCCACCCTGCTTTAGAACACTTTATTGTATAGAAGCATTAAAGTTTTTTCAGAAGTTAGTTGTTTTGTTTTTATTTTTGAAGTTCAACTACTTAGTGGCTGAGGCAAGAGGATTACAACTTCAAGGCTGTGCCGGCTACAGCGCAGCATGCTGTGTGCTCCTGTTGGCACGCTTATCTGCTTTTGCTGCGTTGTGACTTAAGACCAGGAGTGTCTCTAGACACAGCCTGGAAAGAGCAGTGATGAGAAAACACCATCGAAGTGCAGGTTTGGGGCTGCTGGACTTAGACAAGGCAGCTGCCATTTTGGCATCTTTCCTATCCATCTGATGGATGTTTTGCACTTATTAATTCCTCAGAACACCTGCTTTTCTGTAAGAAGAAAATGTTTGACTCTCAGTGACAGATGCAAATTATCTACATAATTTTAAATTAAGAGTTGAGGTAAAATGGGGAAAAAATAGTTTCTGAGAAGTGACTAAATATATACTTGATGGCGAAGTGTTCTTCATTAGCCGAGTTAGCCTTCTCTAGGACTTTGACAGGCCCCCTGTTCTGAAAGTCCAGCTCCCAGGCACTGCTGTCTTTTTTACAGTGCCAAGGAAGCTCCTATTCTTTTGCAAATTGATTATTCATTACTCTAAAAGTTGTGTGTGTGTGTGTGTGTGTGTGTACGCACGTGCCTTAGCTTTGGAATTCTGGGTGTATGAGAATACATCCAGATTATTATGTGGGCCCCGGGTATCAAGGCCAGGTACCAAGTTGTTGCCAAGGCTTGTGCAACAACTTCAGGCCTCTGAATCTCTTTTGAGTAGGTGTTTATTTTACCTGGGCTGTTGCATGGATAAAAACAGAATATCAAATCACCATTATTAAGTAGAAAGGCAGCTAGCCTTTATTCCTCTCCTCCACTAGTTTTTATCTTGTATTTGTTTCTGTTGTTACTGTTTATGGGCTGAACTGCTTACTGCTTCTTCCTCTTCCATGCGTCATAGCCCAGCATACAGCTTTTGTACTCTGTTTTGATCTGAATCCTTTTTTCATTCAGAATTCTGAAGATTTGAAAAACAGGAAGGGCAGCAAACTGACCTTTCTGCCTTGAGTCTTTTAAAGCCATGTTCATTCAGTATTTCTTGCATGGCTTCTAAATGGTGCCACCTGGATGCATGGTTACAAAGCCCAGAACACGCTCTCCCAGTATTCCCTGCTTTATGCTCAAGCTATTTGCACTCCAACTTGCAAATCTCTTTTCATGTTCACTCTGTTAAAGGCTTTTGATAGTGATAGACAGGTTTTTGGTGAATAGGTAAATAATAACTGTCTTATGCGTTAGCATCCTTTGTGTATTAGAGAGCAGCCTGCTGTGTACATCAGTGAACAGCTTGGACTGGAGTTTCTTTTTTAAGCACGCCAGGCACTTAGAACTCGCTAAGTAGCCCATGCTGACCTTGTACACCATAGTCTCCCTCTCTACCTCCTGTGTGCTGGAATTACAGGTCTGTACCAACATGGCCAGACAGCCAGACAGTTTGAGCTTTGGTATTGCTACTTGCTAGCTTTTTGAATCTGGTTAGATCAGTCCTTCTTTCCTTTCCTTTCCTTTCCTTTCCTTTCCTTTCCTTTCCTTTCCTTTCCTTTCCTTTCCTTTCCTTTCCTTTCCTTTCCTTTCCTGTCCTGTCCTGTCCTGTCCTGTCCTGTCCTGTCCTGTCCTGTCCTGTC